GAAATTTTGAGTTATCATAAATACATGTACTTACGTTATTCATTTTTATACTTTGAAGTACACATAGTACGAATGTTGATATCCAAGAAATGTGAGAAATACAATGAAATATAATCAAAAAGATTTCCCAACGATTGGAACAAAATTTCTGAAAAAATAAATTTACCTTATACATATTATTTATTCAATAACAGAATCGTATTTAAAGTTGATATAGTATTCTGCATAATGTAATATAATATATACAGTACGATATAGTAATGTATATTTAAAATTAAACAAATAATAATGCTTTTATTAGTTAATCGGTAACAAGATTTTATCCAAAGTGATATGTTGTAATTTACGAAAGAATAAACCAACAACGTAAATAAATGTACATTTATATAAATAAATGTTTCGTCTGTATACAAATTCGAAGCGTTTCAGATCCCATCATCTACTCGTGGTCGGGACGGCGTAACGGGCGATAAGCTCCTAGGAAGCTCGGGATATAAATCGTTTAACGCGGGACGCGAGAGGGTGGACACGGAATAGAAAGTGGTTAGTCACCTTGACGGGTGCAGGGGTTACCATGGAATGGATCCTCCTCCGGCAAACCGACACGCAGCAGCATACTCCCATAAAAGGTGCGACCACTACCCCCTTCTTTTTTTTTTTTTCCGTTCGTCGAAACGTTGCCGCGCAATCTCAACCTTTATGATCTACTGCGGCCACGATTGACACCGGTGTGTCGGTCTTGTAATCGAATTTACGGCTTCCGGCCTTGCGTAAGTGCCCTCCCCCTCGACGACGCCACGGGTGCATCGTGGAAGGAGCGACACCACGGGGACACAGAAGAAGGCTTACATACGGAGGTTCGATCGAAAAGTTCCTGCAATTTATTTATATCGAAAAATATTTATTTACTCATGAATATTGATATAGTGTCCTTCGAAGTGGATCCCATCAGATATACAGGATGTCCCACCTAACATGACTACCTTTAATGTCTCACTTGTTTTTGAAAATACAAAAAAATGTGAGGGGAATGTATTATTATAAGGAGCAAATACTATAATATCTTTTGGAAAAGTTCCTTTAATTTTTGAGAAAAAAAATCACTCTTTCTTCGGACTCCTGACTAGGCATACCCAACCCTGAATAAAATGTTATCTTTGATCGAGCGTTCGCGGAGAGCACGAATCGAATCACTTCTGACGAGCGTTAACGCGTACTACGATCACGAGCCGCTTATGAATATCGATTTCCGACGATGGAATTGTGCCAGAATTGGCGAATATACCCACGAGTGATGGACAGATTGTTCCCCTGTTTTTTTTTTTCGATCAAGACATGCTTTGAATATTACAGCGAATCATCGATGAGTGTTCGAAGGCTTCTTGCACTGAACATTAAATATTTCGTAAACTAATGGCCATATGTGGCTGAAATAAATATCATTGGCTTTAGAATTCAAAGTTCTATCACTCTGAGAAACCTTAATGAAAACGTCAGCGTTACTTTTTTATTTACTCTAGGTGCATAGAATAGTTGTTTCAAGTTTTCTCGGAGTACCAAATCGCGTTTTGTATATATTTGTTCGACATTTAACGGACGAGTGCTTCGACGAATCGTAACATCGTCTCTCGACTCAGGAACCCAAGATCAGAATCGTTGGAAATAATAATCAACGCACATCTGGATTCAATCCTCGCGGAACTTATGCAACTACCGCGGTGGCTGAACAAATATCGCGCTACGCTTTGTCATCCTGAACGAAATCCAATCGTGCTCGACGATGACAACGCGAATCTAGAAGTTGAGGGGTAAGACAAACATTGGTTAAATAATCGACAGAAAATCTGAATTGTGGATTTTAGTGTGTACCGACAGAAAACAAGGAAATAGAGACTTTTGTAGAATTAATCGAAAGACTTTAGATTCAAGACGAAGAAGACTGCTTAATCACAGAGCTAGGATGAATACTGGTACATTAGGAATTAAGTGACTATAATCATTCAAGGTCACGGATAAAAGGGTGGTGCCGTTTAAAAAAAATGAAGATGAGCGTTTTTGGCATCATGTGAGTCCTTAAAACATTTTCCATATCTTTAAAAACAGCAAAGATATTTGAGGTGCAAACGTTAGGTGACACCCTGTATAGCCATTAGTTTATGAAATATTTAGTGTTCAGTGCCCAGAAGCACTCATCGAGGATTTACTGTACAGAACGAGACTAGTATACCAGTACACGCGATGCGGTTGGTCACGGATTATCATTTTAAACCGCGTGTTTAACGCCTAACACTCCCGACGGCATGGATTCGAAGAGAATCGGGACAAGCTCGTGCCACGGCTGATTGGCCTGATTGTTGACGGTCGTGGGTCAATAACCATTTAACACGACACGCGGAGCAGCAGGCGGATCGAATCGCCTCGACACCTAAAGAACACCACGCTACGCCTCCCCCTAGAGACGCGTGACATCGATCAGAGACGAAAGTTTCTCAGAATACTACGTTCCGTTGCCAGCCTCGTTATTTCGTCATATAATTGACCGTCTGTCGGATCTCACGTGGAATGGCCCTTTTTTTTAGACTCGTGTGGACCTTCACTGAAGTGGCTAGATCTGGTAGAGTCAATTATGAATATAGTAAATCCTCGATGAGTGTTCGAAGGCTCATCTGCAATGAACATTAAATATTTTATAAACAAATGGTAACATGCGACTGTAACAAATATCATTGGCTTCAGAAATGCAAGCTCTATCACTGCACTAAATTTCATTAAAAAGTCAGCGTTACAGCTCTCTATGTCAGTGTTCATGACCCTTCGAACACTCATCGAGGATTTACTGTACTACGATGCTTCATAAATGGCCCATTCACAGGCCAAAGTGAGTCTAGTTTTTGCATTTTTTTTTTCAAATAACAGTGCCAAAGCACTGGTTGCTTGACATCTTATATTTAAAATTAATTTTCTTGGGAATATATTTGGAGTTAATTACTTTTTGAATTACGAGAAATCCTGAAAACATGTCTCCTTGTAATATCGTCCTTCGGTCGTCTTCAAACCGTAATTAAGGAAATTTCCAACCCTTCCCGGACGAGAATATTCTCGTTTATATAATCTATCTTTCTATCACGTAACGGGCACGGTTTGTGTCACCTGAGCTTCCGAATCGTTTTCCTAAAACGTAAGTGTCTTTAAACGGCGTGGGATCCGATGATTATATACCTACACCGACTCGCAACACTTCGAAAATCTCTTCCAAGTGGCTTCTTCTGACAGGTCATTATCGGACGAAATACTGTGATCTTTTTTCAAGGTATGTTAGGCAACATTCATGGGCGTAGCCACCTTATTATTTGGGGGGAAGCCAATTTTTTTTTTATATTTATCTTAAGGTAAATTTTGCAATATTATTTTTCTCCTCTAGGGAATAGGAACAAAATCCAATTATTTCCCCCCTACAGTAGGGTAAAGGCCACTTTTTTCCCCTGGGTGTAAGGGTGAGGCATTTCCGATTGACTCCAAATTTGGAAATATGATTCCTTATAAGAATTATCTGGAATGTAGCGTTTAATTTTTTGAATAATTTTGCGAAAAATATGAAAACGGCAGCTTTATAAAGAGAATTAATTTTGTCACCGGAGTATACGGATCTTTAAAAAATCAACAATTTGAAATATCAAAAGAATCGTAGGTTACATTGGAGATAATTGTATAAGGAATCTAATCTAAAAGCAACTGACAAGATCCTGACCAGCCACCACCAGTGTACAATCTTGTATAACTCCGTCATTTTGTAATTTTATACAATAACCAATGTATATGGGAATAAAGTTGAAACGTTACCTAACGTCGCTGGAAAGCGATCCCAATATTTTACTCGACAATTACTTGTTAAATTGCAAAACTGTAGAAAAAAACTAATAAAAACTGCAGACAACCATCTGCTACCAGGAAAAGAAGATACGATAAGGTAATCCATTGTACGAATAAAATGTTTATAACTTGAAAATATAATTGATAATTAATTTGTCATTTTTCCACCTACGTTTGTCAGGACCTTTTTCGTCATTTGGCAAGTACTATCCACCCGTGAAATTATGAACCCTTTTTTTTATGTCACCTTGTATATGCACTACGTAAGTCTTTCGAAGTAATTTCACGGGACTTCGCGTAATAGGACGTGTCCAATCTTCGCCTCGTCTCCGCGTAAACTTCCGACTCGATAATAATTTCCAGCTGTCTCGTCAAACATAATTGAAATACAGAATATCCGCGTGAATTTTACGACTTCGAGAATTGGGGGGACGATTGCTTTCGTGGATCACACACCGGATAATATTTTTAATTATCGGACCCCTTGCCACGATAATTAACCATCTAATAATATTAACGAATTTACGATTTATAAATTGTGACTGCTGGTAGATTTCTGTTCTGCAGAGACAGTCCTCTTTTTTTTAAATTTACAAGTTAAATCGCTGATACTATTAGTACCTATATTTTTACAAGCATTTGTTGCACAAAAAACGAGATTTTACAAGTTGTACAAATTGATTGTTAAATAATTTTTACAATCTTTAAATACTGACATTGCTTTGTTTTTGATTTATTGAAAAGGATTACGTGGTCTTTGAATTTCGCCGTATCGTAAAAACTCATTCCCATTCATCTACACGCGTAGGAATCCAGTAACAATTGACAATAAAGGATGGACGGTATTGTGGCAAGGAGGAATAGTAACTGTTAGGTATTCGATGCTTCTCGACGTCTAAATGAATGGATCTACCAATAGAGTTAGAATAATAGCGCCTTGTAAGGGTCAGGCTATTATTGGACTTGTGGATTTTACGGATTCACTGCACAAACGTCTGGAACTTGTACAGGAAAACGTTTAAAGTATGATCTCAGAACGAAACCACAGGCCAGGAAAGGGTTAACCACCGTTTCCTGACTGGTCGAAAGAACAAAAAAAAAAAAAAAGATGTGAATCACAGGCTGCTTACCGATACCCTTTTGCCAAAACCAAGGAAGGACAGCTTCCTCTTGGTGTTCTCCATCGTTCACCGGTCGCGGTAGCTGCTGCCTCAGCAGCTATCAGCTTTATGGTGTTGTCTTTTTCCTGGGTGCTCGGCCGATCCTGAGTCGGGACGGCGATGTCCACATGTGGAGGAGTCGCTGGGATGGCAGCTCCGTTCTGCTAGCTGTTTCGAACAAACAATTTAATCGCAGATTCAGTATATTCGTACAAACAAGTTAATGACAGATTCAGAATACAGTAAATCTTCGATTATTGTCCAAGGCTCCTCGACAGTGACAAAAAGAGGCACTCAGGCTGGTTTTTTAATGAGGTTTAACAGATTGATAAATCTTGGAATTGTGAAGTCAATGATATTCGTTTCAGCCGCATATGGCAATTAGTTTACGAAATATTTAATATTCAGTGCCGAGGAACAGTCATTGAGAATTTACTATATTGACTGGCTTAGGTCTCTGTCCAGGTCCCCCCTAAATGATCATCACCTCCTTACTTTATATAGTTCAACTCGTAGGATGGACTATAGACTTATTGTTAAACTTGGAGTATACACTCCATTAAGGTGCGTCTCCATTACGTCGATCGGCAAAACTGAACATATGGGGATATGTCATCGGCACGTGCCAATAGGCCGCGCAACATTCATGAAGAAGAAGTTGCAAGGAACCATGTCGGTGTATTTTGCAGACTAGAACGGAAGAATTTGACGAGATCGGTATCGTTGCGTTATAACGACATCGATGGACCGACTCTGAGGATTCGAAAGGGAACAATGTCGAAGAATAATATAACGAAGAAATTTTGATTAGACTCGTTCTGTATTTGGCAACGGAAGTTTTTGATCTTATTTTTAAAGATACTCTAATTCAACGTATATTTTCTTCGATCAGTAAGGTTATCGCAATGGAGTTTACCATCAATAGGATCATAAGAAATAGAGTAATAAGAGACAATCGCAGGGAGTGAGGGGCCAAATCGACGCTATGATAAAAGTAAATAGGTATTCCGAGTACTGTCACTTGCGACTCGAATTGATAAAAGACGAATCTCCGTCTGCCACCGTGACGGGTGCTAAGAATAATACCGGGTTACGTTGAAAACGCTTGGAAAGATAAAAGAGATACGAAGCAAAACAAACGTTTCCTGTTCGTCGATGCAACGTCGGGAATAAATTCACGGCGACCGACGATGGACGAGAATTCCGATCGGAGGGAATAACGAGTGAAATCTGGAAGGTGGATCAACCCTCCGTAACGCCTGTTATTTTCACTGCTTCCGACACACCCCTTGGGTCTTTTATGTTCAGATCTATTTTTGTAACTCATAGGTTTTCAAAAAATCTAAAAATCTGAAAAATCTAAAAATCTAATATAGTTTTTAAAATTGAATGTTAAAAGTTTTTTTTATACTAATCTAGATTACTTAAATATTTGGGGGCGAAATTTCGCTTGTGCCATAAAAGACCCAAAATGAACTAATTTCTTTACTTTCATATGGTAATAAAAGTTGCAAAAGATCTTGTGTCAAGTAACGTTGTCAATACTGATAAGTAATTTTGTCTTGTTTGATAGTTGTGGTATTAATACGCGGGCAGAAATGAGCCAAGCTATTTAGAAACCCAGCAACTCTCAAAATGATAGAAAATTAGTGAAACACATTATGGATCTCATAATTCTGTGATTTTTATTTTGCAAAAAATTACCAACCCATAGAAAATTAAAAATATAATGAAATGTAATCACAGAAAATTTAAAACAATATTATTTATACTACTCACTCTTCGATAAGCCATTAAAAACACCAAGGAATAAAGTACACCCAATAAAAACAAAGTTATTTCATTTCAAATTAATATCCACAAACTAAATTTACTGTATTTCAGATTACTAAGGATTGGTAGAATTTTGCATACCTCAACCCAAATATACTGTAGCCTGGTTCGTTCGAGTACCTTTCAAACGAGTATAGCAGACGGAAACTGGGGACGAAGATCAGCGTAACAAAGACAGAGAGAAAGAGCTGGAGAAGGAAACGCGAAGAAGACGACAAAGGGTGTGTGGATACAGACCTTTAAATACAACCGGCGCTGCTCTAGCGTGTGTCACTGGAGAGGGGAGGGAGCCGCGGACAATAATCGCGAGCGTACTCTGGAAACACTTGTTCGCGAACTAAAGGTACGTTTTCACGTGACAATAAAACTTTCGTTGTCGTGAAACTTTATGACCATATAAACCAATGTCACGACAACGTGAAATCTAGTTTTCACGACGAAAAAATAGGTCATAACATTTAGCGTCACGACCGTAAAAGATACGATTTACTGTCACGTGGAACCGTAGCTTAAGTACCTTACGGCCGTCCAGTCAGGATAATGTATCGAGATTCGAGAGATGGAGAGACGCGACACGACGACGACAGTGACCGACCGACTGACTTGGTTCGAGACTACCAGGCAACCGCAACACACATCCCCGTCCAGAGAGGGACCGACCGATTCCAATGGAACTTGATGAATAATCTCCCGGTATGGCGTAACGTTGCGCCGGTATAAATAGCGAGACAAACCGATATTACAATTTGCCGAACGTTTCCACGACGGTTCTGGCTTTCCTTTGTGACTGATCGAATGAGACCCAGGGGTGGCGGCCCAAGTCCATCGATAATAAGAGCTGCATATAATATTTTTCATACATTTTCGAACGTTCAAGAGTCACAGAAAATATTATTTTTAAATTGATGGGCTCAGTGGAAAAAGGCTAGATGCCACATCTACGTCGATATTTAGTATTTGGAAACCTTCAACAGAAGCTCTAACAATCTAGCGTCCATTCCACTACCTTCAAGCACTGTGGCATAAACGTAAGCATTTCGTAAACAAAAGCATATTAAAGTTACTTAACATTGAAAGTAAAGAAATTCTTAATGAAAAGTCTATGCTATCCTGTCCCCTTAGAAAAGAGGCACATGTCCCAATACTATAAGTTCACACAACTATTTTTAATTCGGAATTATCTGTTTAAAGCTCAGAACGATACCCTTAGATACTGCTGCTTTTCACTGTGTATTATTCGAATAAAATTCTCCCCAACCCTGCTTCTCACTCGTCTCTAATTACGCGCATAGCTAGGATCCGATGAAGTGACGCAACGAAATGCCTGGGACAGCTTTCCTTATCGCGAATTCGAACGGCCAAGCGATACCTTATGTCGCCTATGCGTAATCGCTCGCGTGTCCGTACGCCCACATCCTCGTGGGTGCCATCTTCCATAACCGCGATGTGAACAATTGAAATATTAAAATTAACCTCGAATTTATCTGGCCCGTTTCACGACCGAAAATAGCTACGAAGAAGGGAGGGGGACAATTTCGTTTTAATTGCATCGGAGATTTCGTGGTTCGTCGTCTTTTTGAACACGCGACAAGCACATTACATCCCTGTCCATAAATCACTGGGCACTTGATTGTATCGAGGAAAGTAGAAATCCAAACAGAAACGCAGTTGTCAGTAATTAATCTACTTACATTATTCTACTGCTAACTGTTCGATCGAAAATTGTTTTGGCCAATATAATCTGATTTAAGGAGAGCTTTAGACGATTGTTACCACATTTCCTATCAACCCTTTGTTTCCAGAGTTTTCAAGGTCACCTTCAGTTTTTTTTATAAGGTATAATTTTTTTACAACCGACGTAACATAATTTTTCTTCTAGACCAAAGAAACATTAAGGAAATATTATTTACCTTAATTAACCTGCAATATACTCGGGTATACAGTTAAGAAACGATTGGTTGGTTCTATTTACGACGTCTGCCACTGATGGTTAAGCAGGTAAAAAAATTTTCAACCGAACATCTAGCAGTAGAAATAAGCTGTTTACGTTTCGTGGTCCAATTTCCACATAGAATCACAGTTTACCGTTTTACCAACAGTTATACCACCGTTTCGAAAACACACCCCGTATCAGTGAGTAAACATTCTAGTCGACAAATTCCGTTGACACTTCTACTCACGGTTGTCGAGTCTATCCACCGAATTTCCTTTGCACTTGCGACACAGTTAACGCGCCAGAAACTGAGGCGCTGCACACACCTGTGATAATTACACGACTGGCTCCTTCAGAATAAAAAAAAAAAAAATAATAAGCTAAATATCTCCCGAAATCTGATCACATGGGACCACAAGATACGACGTCACCTTGATTTAAATTTCACCTCGTATCCACAGTTCGTGCTTCCACCGTCTCGAGGAACAAAAATGAAAGAGACAAGGAGGTCCTCTGATGTCTCTCTCGTACTATATATCTGTGTGATTTACGACTCTCCTTAATGAACCGCCGATTCTATTATTCTTCTTTACACAGCTCTTTGTCATCAGACCGAGAAAGAAAATAAAAACGCTTCGTTCCTGTTGTTTCGTGGCGGTAATTTTAGTATTTGATAAGAAGATGCTTGGTTAACCGTCACGGAGAATGTGACCACGGGTAAGCTCCGATTATATCGCGTTCTCTTGCACGTTCACGAAAGCTATGTCTGTGTGTGTATAATGGTTGCCGTTAAGAATTTGAAACTTGTCGGTAACAAGGCCTTACCTAGAATCGAAATACCATACTATTCGAATGTTTAAATACTCGAATATTCCATACTATTTGAATTATTCGAATAAATCGCACTATTCGAAATATTCGAATAAGTTAATCGTATTCGAAAAATTTAAATATCCGAATACATACTTACAGCTTTACTTGAGAGTCGAATTTATACCAGCTGCGAACGATTCGGCGCGTATATGTCACGGTTTTCCGGACACACTAAAAACCGAATTATCTCGTCGTCACGGAATGAATCATTTATTTTTGCAAGTTTGTGCGTATGCGAGTGGAATCTGCGAACAATCAACTCCTCGGAACGCTTGCCTCGCGCGTTCTGTCTCATCGAATCAACAAAGTGGCCGCCCGTTATAAACGCAAAACAAACACAGGCGGTTACGTTAACGATTCGCAGAGTATCCTCTCTGTCTCTCCATATCTGTCGTTGTTCAGCGACCGATTACTAATTGAACCAACCGAATGTGTCACCGCAAGTCGGACAAATTCCATGGAAATGCGTAATCGGGTAAACGCACCAATGAATGAACACTTAAGAGATTTTGTAACCATTGAAATCAAA